GTAGGGAAATGTGTATTTTGAATCTACTTCATATTGATGAATTTAGTCATTGTTTCCCTTTCAGAGAATATATTTAATTATTCTGTCCCTTTTTCCTTCACTGCCTCCAACCTGTTGCGTGCCTAGAAAGGTTGCAACAGGGATCATAAGAGGACCTAGAAAGGCATGCTAAACTAATGCACAGAATCTGAATTAATAAAATTGCTGTTAATGAAATACAGGCAGCAAAACATATTTTTGAAAAATACAGATTTCATATGGACGTAATGAACTTTTTATAGGCATCAGCTCATTTCCCTTTAGGTTGAACTTGGGCCTCTATATAATAACAGGCATTCATAAAGTACAGCTTTATTGGAGACCCAAATGTACATAGTATCTGTAGCTCTTAAAAGTTTGTGTGTGCTTCTTCAGTCTTTGGTCCCTATGGAAGAGCACTAATTGTTACTTGTACCTTAAGGGAGACTTACTCCATGTAACTCATTACCGCAGCACTGCTTATTTTCATCTCATAGTTCTGGACTTTGGAAATTCTAAAGAATTTTGCACCCTTATTTAAACATTGCTGTCCTGAAAACACTGCAGGAATATGACAGTGATGGAGCATCAATACCTATAATTTTCTTCCTTTTCTCTTGTTGAATTAAATAATGTGTTGCTTTATCCCACTTTCCAGGTTTTCCTGCACCCTAGGGCCAGACTGCTTACCAATCTAATTAACATTTCAGAACTGTAGCTCTACTGCTGTGATATGAAATCCAGATCCAACTGAAAGCTGTAGAGTTAAAGTTTAAATCCCTGAATTTGGAAGGTTAACTTATTAGTGCATGAGTGTGTTAAGTCACTTTGCTTGAATTTCCAGTATAATCTCCTTCAGGCTATAATTCTGCATATTTTTGCATATCTCACTAAGAGCTCAGAAGCCTTTCCATTAGGAATGCAGCAAAGGATTTACACTGTTAATACAAGAATAAATAAAAAAATCAGGTTAATACGTATTTTTCCTTGAGTGTGTATTAATATGTCAATGTTGATATATCAATAAATCAGAAAACAAATGTTTTGCACATTTGTATTTTCAGCTAAATTATGGACCAGCTTATCTAGTGCAAAATTAGGAATAGCTTCATTTGTGCTCCAATTCATAGACTTCTGTGCTCCTTACAATTTATCCTCTTATGAAGCGCATTTTCCTAGTTAAAAGTGCTATTTATTTACTGGAGTGTTAAAAATCTACTGGTATATTTTTTGAAAGTTGGGCAGAACCTGGTAATATAGACTGAGATTGTACTTCAGGTGATCTAAATGCATTCCCACTTACTATCACCACCATCTTGATGTTGGCTTGTCCAACTGAAAAATAATGTTTTTCTTTTTATTTTGCTTGTTTAATGACTAGCTGGATCAGTTTCTTGCTCTGCTTCACTGCATGGCAATGTATTTACCGCCACTACAGGAAGGGAACATGTAGCTGAAAGGAAAGGAAAGGGACAGGCTGTCCCTATAGCTTATAGCCTACACCTAGGTTGACTTAAAACAATTATAAAACTGAAGCCTTGCAAAAATATATCCAGTGTATTAGTCTAAATGACCTAAAAAAATCACAGATTATCCAAATAAAAGCACTTGTATTTTCTTCAGTTACTATACGGCCAAAGCCTCAATTTGCTGAGTTGGATATGTTTTTTACAAGGGCTTAGGAGGAAATTACTTATTATACATGTGGGAATAGTTTCAAAAGAGAATTTTAATTTTTTCGTTAACCCTTCCAGGTTGCATTTATTAGCGTTCCAGAGGTTATATAGTATATTTTTTTCTATTGTTTCTGAACTATTTCTCGCTCTTCAATTTGCTTGCCTTTAGAATACTTTAAAATACCATTATTTTCCACATTTCTAACTCACTCTTTGGTTCTTGCCACTGCAAAAATTTAAGCTGCTTCTTTTCACAGGGCTTTAGATGACTTGAACCATCATTTTTCTAGGAACTTATATACTACATTTTCACTTCTTTAAACATTCTGAGAGAAAAGTGAGGCAAAATAAAACAGCTGACCCAGAAGAAGCAATATTTCCTTTCCTTTTTAAGTGTGTTCTGTGAGTTCAGTGTTTGAGAGAAAATTAAATCGACATTTCTAGATATAGTCTTCCTCAGAATAAATTTGCTGTACATTAAGCAGGAAGAGCTTCCTCGCCATGTACTGTTAACGTGCTTCAGCGATGACTTGAAGACACCTGCTTTAGGAGTGAAATGGTACTTTGTTCTTTATGGTTGAGCTGCGACTGAGGTTTTCATCCAAAGCCAAATGTAGGATTCTCTTTGGGGAGATACTGGCTCTGTGTGAACTGAACTCAAACTGCTAAATTCCTCTGAAACCCCCAGTGTTGTTCCTTTAAGCTGTTCAAAACTCAAGTTGTCCTCCAGGCCCTTGAGTTTTAGTTACGGCTAACTGAAGGTTCAGGCAAGGATTCAATCTGTGCTTTTAAGCTTTTCTTTTTCCAGGTGGCAGACACATAATGTTGACATGTATAATAAAGTGAAAAGAAAGGAGAAGCTCACAGTAACTATATAATGACATTTTCCAGGTATTGAAAAGGAAACTCAAGGAGGGAGATTTAGATTGGAACATTTGGAAAAAGGAATATGAAACTAAAGCAGAAGTTTTAATTGTTTTCCAGCATGATTTGTTAGGATACTAAGTTGTTGATTCTAATTGAAAAAAAACAAACAAACAAACAAAAAAACCCAGAAAAGCAGCTCTACTGCTTCTTGATTTTTAATTAACAATCATTTAGGTTTCATTTTGCTTTCACAGATGCATTGAAATATGATTTTTCTTTTGCTTATGTTTAATGTTTACATTTATAATGAATTGCTGTGCAAAAAGATGGCTTGAATGGTCATGGAGAGTCTGTTATATTATTCTACATTAATAGACTTAATTAATTGCATGAGATGACTGTGTAAGAGATTGACTTGCTTATCACTGAAAAGACCTCTAGGTTTTGTCAAATCAAATTATTATTGTTTGGGGGGTTTCTTTGCCCTCTCCTTACTCTCCCCTCCCCCAGCTTCACAGCTTTGCCGTTAGTAGTGCAGCTCCCCCAGTAAAACTGGTACTGGGAGCTATTATGTCTTCAGTCCTGATGCATTTTTACTGAGGGGAGAGATACAGCTATTAACTTGCATGGAAATTATAACAAGCCCTTTTTCTGCCTAACTAACAGAAGCAGAGTGTTATTCTTGTAAATAGTACTCCTGCATACGGATAACAAAACTGATTTTTTAAAATTATATGGCTCTGAAATTATAAAGATCTGTAGGATGTGTAGCTTCACAAGGAAGAAAATCCCTTATTTAGCATGTTTTGGGCTTGGTTAAAAATATCACTCTAATCGTGTCTTTGTGGTAAAAGTTGTTCGTTCATTGTGTCTGGGCAAGAATGGAATAATTCTTGAATATTACACAAAATCAGTTTCATGAGCCATATTTTACCAAGGCAGAGTTCAATATTTGTATTGATTTGCTTAGGAATCCCTACTGCAAAAGATTTTATTTTATAAGCAGTTAGACAGATTACAGTTTATAGGAGGAATGTGTTTCATGGATTATATATGTGCTCAGAAAATAGGAAACTGCTAGTTTTTGTATCTCATAAAAATGGTAATGTAACAATTAGCAGGGTCATATTATAAAGCACAGACTTTACTCTAGCTTAATGGATCTAGGGATATGCATTCATCAGCAAGGATGGATTTAGCATAAAACGACATGTAAATGAATTGATGACTGATCATAAATTAATTTTAGTGCTGAAGATGTAATAGAGACACAGCAAGATGCCACTTTATCAAAGTATTTTACTGCTCAGCAACATTTGAGCAACTACTTAATGTTCTATATGCGTTTCTTCTCTAACAGCTTGAATAAATTTCAGAAATTTTTGTACCTTTCAGCAATACGGAAACCAAAAAATCTAGAAAGATTGAAAATGCAAACACAAATAAATTTGACTAAGTGGCATAAATTCATTTTTCATTAAATGTTTATGAGGGCATTAATTATGGTTGGACCTGTGAAGTGCCAAATAGGTATATATGTTTTGCTGTATTTTATTGAGGGTTTCCTGCCCCAAAATTAAAATTTTAAAATATGAGCATTTATTTCAGGTATATGCATATAAATATTTGGGCCATGGAGGGAGTATAGTGTAAATTGTAAGTCTAGGTCTAATTTATGAAGTGTGATTGTATTTACAGTCTTCATTCAACACCTTCCATTTGTTCATATTCTAATGGTATATTAGCTGTTGCCCCTTTTGCTTCCATCACTTCCGCTAAAGCTAGTGTCCATTATTTCTTTATAATCATGTCAGCAGTCAGATACACCCAAAAGAGGATAAAGTTTTTCTCCTGTACAAAGGCTAGGAGAATTCTTAGAGCTGAAGCAGCCTCAGTCCCAAAGAACTTTGTCCATACTTCACAGATCTCGGTGTTCTAGCCCCGATTCATCAAAAACCTGCAAAGGAGCAGGGATTTAATATTAGCATGTGTATAATGATCTTATGAAGAAAAGCATATAAACATATACACACAAGTCCTACTGACATCAGTAGTTAAATTTAAGCACGCACATAGAGTTTGCATACAGAAACGTATCTAATGGAATTTTCAAAAGTGTTAGGTTTGTTGTAAGTAGCTTTTATTTCACAGGTGCATTAGATTTTTTTAACAGTAAAGCAAGTGTACACTTTGCATAGAAAAACAGCATCTTTATTGCCTGCAACACGCCACTAAAAGTGGTAGCATGCAATCTACAAGAAACTAACACCTCTATTCCCCTCACCTTTCCCTAAGAGCAAAGCAGCTTTCTGTTTGCGTTAGCACCAAGAAATATTTTATGGGGCAAGAAAACACAGTTCAACTTTTCACAGAGTTGATTTTGTTCTGCATAAAGTATTTACTGCTGCTGTCAGCAAGAGTAAAATTTACAGTTGCCAGAAAGCGTAAAAACTCAAATGTGCTCTTGGAAAACACATAGTGAGCTGCATGTAAAGGAGACGCTAAAAGCCTGTTTCATTCCATTTGAAAATGCATAGTTGATCTGAAAAGGATGTCAGCATCTCTTATTCTGCCTTTATTCAGAGAGAAACAAATGTGCCTCTGATTTGGAAAACAAGAGGCCAGTGGATGCTGTTATGCAAGCAGTCGCCACGTGTGCTACGTTAACGCAGCTGTGTGGTGGCCTGAGGTGCCCAGGCTGGACCAGCACTCTGGTGCTTACCAGGAAATGTCCTCACCTCGGGACACCAACCGAAGATGTTTTACCTACGCAAGCTGTAATGGGGAAAAAAATTGTTTATGCAGAGAAACTGAATAGCTCAGGAAGCTGTAGAAATAATGCAGAGATTGCAGTGGTAGCTACCGAGTCATACATAGCTGTGGTCACTGCAGACCAATGGTAGCTTGCTGACTTAAGCAGTTATGACCTTTTGCTTCAGCTTCCAGTTTGCGGGTGGCCCAGTACCCAGAAATAGCATCACTGTTTGTATTAACTGTCATCTGTTGACACTGTGAGCAAGTAAAGCTCATGTCCATATGAGAATTGAGCTGTGCCTCCAGGCTGGCAGGCGGTCACTCCTGACGCTGCTGATGGGTGTGAGGTGAAGGTGGTGAAGGCGAAGTAATGCGTGTGCGGAGTGCGGGGATATGCAGAAGCTCAGGGAACAGGTCTTTCTGATAAAATTAACTAGTACATACCTGACAATTTGGCAGCCTGAAAACAGCACTCTATTGATAATTTATATTTAGGTATTGTTAAGAAAGCCTGGATGCCCATGCATATGTAGAATGATAGGTCTATGCATGCACACTGGAGAGAACGTTATCGACTTTTGCAGATCCCTGGTATATTTCATACTTAAAATGTGGATTATTTTGGGGGGCAGGATGAGCTTCTGTCCAGTCCTTTTAAGAACAGATGAAAAATAGCAACTATTCCTAGATATCACCAGAATGTACCCCATCCAAATGGGTTGAGTAACTAGTTGGCAGGTGGCGCTAACGTGAGCAAATGGAAACTGAAACTTAATTTCCTTTAATACATCCATAGTCTTGTCCCTATGATATTGAAAAACCATGTATATTCTTACATATTCTCTTCAGTATGTATTTTTATATATTTTATGTATAGAGTAGATTATAGAATATAAAAAGCTTGGGCCCTGATTCAGGAAACTAATCAAATACATGGTAAACTCTCAGCACTGGAGTATCTTCCTTTTATATCTATAGGTCTAGTAACATTTTTATGTTTCAGCTTGTGCTTAAATATTTTGCAGAATATATGTGTCGATAAGCAATTGTTTGAAAAAGTCATCTACTATTGCATTTCGTTTTCTTACGTCTTGAAGTGTTTTATCTCTAGTATCTCCTTTCATACATCATCAATAACTTTTGCCAAGCCTTTTTACTCTCCTTTCTATATGATGTCCTGTCGCACTTTGTTAGTTCAGAAATTGTCTTCTCAGAAGATATTCAGTTTCAGGTTTCCTTAGCTTCCTTACATCTGCCTGCATCAGGTCAAGTCTGTTTGGAAAATAACAATTTTATGTGTGCTCTTGGCAAGCAGAATCAAACTCTGTCACTCTCTGTTGCACTTAACACACTTTCTGCCTGTCAGACCTTTATAGACCTCTTCAGTTTCGTTTCTTGTATCTTAGGAGTGCATGGACATGTGTTATTATAGCCTGCCACTTTGCTGACATTAAAAGATTTGGTGACTGCAGCATCATAAAATAATCCATTGTTCTTATTTTTTTGGTGCAGGGTGTTGCTAACTAAATTACCGTTTTCATTTGTTGTAAGTTATGCCTTATTTTGGCAGGATATTTTTAAAATTTTGCACCACCACTAACTATGTAGCCTGTCAATTGGGTACTCATCTGCAGATCACTATGGATTTACTACTTAACAATTTTTAACAAAGTAATACTTTCTTGGACGTGTAATAGAAAGGGCTTTCAAGGACATGTCTTACAGTGCTACACATCTTACAAACTTTTGTGTAAATTCATCTATGCTAGCCAAATGGTAAAGTCAGAGCTCTGGTGTCTCTCTCAACATGGGTTTTTTCTTATCTTGGAAAGTTAGTTTTCTACAGGTTCTCATTGGCTTACTAGGCTTTTTTTTTTTTTTTCCAACATATCCATGCCAGTGTTTTTAAAAAGTAGCCTTTGGGTATTTCAAGATGGTGAGATGCCTGAGCTATCTCAGAACAATATGCTGTGCCTACAGAGTACCATGCAATGCCATGCAGTGATAGTAACTTGGGTCCCAAAAGCAGTCTGGTAGCTCTGCGATTCAGCTGGGCTTGGTAACTAATTAGCATGGTTGCCATGCTCCTGAAGCAAAGCTAGTTATTTGATGCTAGCTTGCGTTTCTTTGCCTCATGCTCCACTACACAGTGTAGATATAACCAGGTACATTTATGCAGGATTTTCAGAAGTGCAGAACTTTCTCAGCTCCATGTGAAGCCAACAAAAGAAACAGAATTTCAGTACTTTGAAAAAAAAAAAAAACTCAGCGATAGCTTTGAAAAGTATATTTTTCACTGTGCATAGAGTAGTTGATCAATGCTTCACATACTAAAAAAAAAAAGAAAATATAAATGAAGAGCAAAAAGGTGAATCCTTTCTTCAGTATTTTAATCTTTACATTTTAATTATGTCAAGCCTTCTATGTTGCCTTCATGTGTTAGCTACTTTCTTGATTCCATGTTCATGATGTTAATTGTCATTCTCCTGTCCTGCAGCTGTGGTAATCCATGGCCAGAAGGTATCATGAGGGCAGTATTGGCTCACTGAGTGACTCAGAATTAAATTTGAGTGTATATTTGCTCTGCTTTTGAAAGTCTACTTCTAACCTTTTAAGTAAAAAACTTTAATCCTCTAGAACGAACTGCTTTAAGTCAGCTTTGTTTTGGACATTAAGATTGCTCATCTGTTTAAAGTTTCTGTTGAGAAAATTGTGCAAACTCAACCTTGTTCAGGACAGTTCTTGAAGCTCGTGTTTGATTTTCTGAGATTTACATTTGTGCTGCCCTAAATTAAGGCTTTATGTTGCAAATATCAAATTAGATGCTGATTTCTAGTAAGTCAAGTAAAAAATCCCGTTGCTTTCAATCCTAAAGGAACCTATTTATTTTCAATAGAATTTATTGTGGAACCTTCATATCTGTAGAAGATATGTATCATTTTGTTTACAGGATCAAAACAACATGGAGTAAGCTATGAATGAGATCCCAGCTAGCTTTGAAAAATACTGTTCTTTTGTATCAAGCTTGGTCAGAGAAACTTTGGGTTTCCTTTTGAGAAGGGACATATTAAATGGATCTTTAAGCTTTAGATGAGCAAAAAAATATCAAATGTATACAACTCACTAGACCCCTACATTTGTTTTTAGGTTCAATGGTAAATGGATGGGGTTCTGCGTCTGATGAGGACCGTAACTTTTCTAGTCATAGATCTAGTGTAGGTAGCTCCTCAGATGACTCGATCTTTACCAGCGGCAGTTTTGCACAAGCACTGGTTGCAGCAGCAGATAAAGCTGGTTTTAGGCTGGATGGAACCAGCCTGACAAGAACAGGTTTGTAGACTCGAAGTTGATGCTTTTTGCATGAAGGGTGTCTCTGCCTATTCTTCTCTTCTTGTCAGTGAACCTGGGTCTCACTTCACATTTGTCTAACATGCATGGAATAAGGTGGATGGAGATATTTTTTAAGTGCATATTCTAAACAAAACCTTACACTCCTCTGTTTCATTTTTAGTGATTTAAAGTAGTGCACAGCACAAGCTTTTAATCAGCACCTTCAGTCTGCTATTTCTCTTTATGTTGACTCTATTATAGATTTACTGACATATGCTCTGTCTAATATTTCAGTGAAGAGATCACTAACTCTACCACGCAATATTTGATGATTGAGTTTTTGCAAAATCTTCTCACAATCAATAACATTTCCAGTGATGAAAATCATATTTAAGCTATTATCTCCATCCCTGCTCTTCTGTTGCATCTCTTCTTGCAAAAATGTATTTTTCTGGGAAATTTTTTCTAAGCATGGGGTGAAATGGTATGCTTTTATTATTAACATTGCAAACTGTTTAAAAGCCTTGTTAATCAGCTGACTTTAAAAATACTTAGTTCAATAAGTTATTGTATTTTGTTTAAATTTAATTTTTACTATGCCAACTGCATCTTCAAGTTAAGTGTAACAAAGGTAAAATGACTATTGCTTTTGAAAACAACTAATTTTATCTTCTGAAAGGAATTAATAGTAAATATAGTTTAGCTCATAATTTTAAAGCTCCTTATGTTATATTTCTATCAAAAAAAAAACCAATAAGTAGCATTTATTTTTTAATATCCTGGACAGAGAATATATTTGGATTTGCTTAGTCTTATTGAAATTGTAAAGTCATTTATTAGTTAAATCCACAAAACCAAATAGTAAAGTATGAATTTTTTTGTTGCAATTTCTCTTCCTATTTCTACCCAGAGTTCCCATAATGTTCCTATCATTTACAAATTTTTATTATTAGTCTTGTATGAAGTTTATCCTTCAGTAAAGTATGCACATTTATGAAAAATGTGTGCAAATGTTAAGGCTAATGCTGCAGGCTTTCTGCATGCAATGACTTTATGGCAAACACTGCATTTTAGGAATGGAGAAAAGAATCCATGGCAAAGCCCTGTGCTGCCAGCAAACTGTAGGGTGAAATTCCACCTTCTCTGAAATCACTGAGTTTTTGCCGTTAGATAATTATTTCACTGTTAAAAATAGTTAAAATCTTCACTTGCTTCTTCTACCAGTGGAACATTGACTGTGTAAATCTTATCCTTTTAAAATTAAGTTGCTCTAGACCTTCACTTGTCCACTATGGGAACAATTTGGCCAAACTATCATTTAAAATATATTGGTTTACTTGAAGAGTCTCCAAAATAGTATTGAATGAAAGGAGTAAATCCTTCCTGCCCTTTTTATTTTTGTGTTCTTCTTGGCCTGAATAAAAGCAAATGTGAAGATTCACTCTGATTTAATTTCACTTATATCAAGCCCACTAAGAAATATAGTTTCTACCACAAACAAATACGTAACAAAAATTCGTGGGCACACAAACACTTTTAAATAAGTATAAATTTCTCATTATAGCTCTGTAAATGAAATGTTGAAGGGTGGGATGAGTAGCTTAATTAGGTCACAATGCACTTAAACTGAGTATTTAAATGTAATTCCTTGGATAGTGTATTAGAGTGTAGGGTACATCAAAGTATTCAACTGTTGCTGTAGAGGCATTGTAATTATTATCTTTTTATTCTCTTAATGATCCAGCAGGCATATCTGAAACAAAACAAAAGCCACATGTAAACGAACAGCCCTCCCCTCTTTTCCCCACAAAACTTTCAGCAAAGGGAAACAACTCCCGAGCCCTTGCTGTAGTTTCATCATGATGTGATACCTCCTGGGCTAGGCATGGTCAGTCAGACATGCCTATTATGTACCTGCTGTATCGCACTGAATCCCTGAGAATGCTAAATGATGTTTTGTAGTGGAGAAGCAATAGTAATATTGGCCTTATTTTTCTGGAGGAAATCTGAAGGGCCTGATCTACTCTCTTTCCCCCGGACAGTTATTTTCACCTGTCCAGAATAGCTGTGAAATGGTCTTACTGAAGTGAAAGGAGAACTACATCTTGGTCACCCAGCATGGGTGTGTTTGACTGCCAAGCATGATAGGCACGGTAAATCCAGGCATAAGGTGTCTGTCCGACTAGACACTTGCATTCCAGTTTGCAGAAGCCGTCATGTGATTTACCATGCAGTTCAGCCAGTTTCCTTTTTGACACCCTTGGGAAATTAAGCCAATGAATTAGTGGATTCATCCTAGTCTCCGCTTACGCACACTAAATCTACTATAGAGTCTAGCACTGCACAGCAGTTTTTACTGGAAGGGCTGCACATGAGAATTAAGATAGATGCTGCAAGCAGATCTCAGGTGCATTCAAAGATGTGTTTTCGGAGCCTGCCCATCATCTGTTTGCCCCATGTCTGATTCAGGTCAGTGCTATTTATTATTACCCTCATTTTCATAGAGGGATAAAAGAGAGAATGTTTAGGCTTTATATTTCTTTTTACAGAGCAGCATTCTAAATTAAGAATCACATGTCTTTAGTCAAGAGAGTAAGTGTGAAGAATCTTCATCCTGCACTCCCTACTTGCACTTGCATGTTGAGAGTTTATTTTTACAAAACATCTGTGCAATATGGTGTGAACTAGGATCGAATTTCAGGCTCATCTCCGGATTTCTTTGCATTAGTGGTCTTTTTTATTTTTAACTGAAATTCTTAGTATTTTGTCTGTGTTCATCTGCTGTTTTATCCTCATCTATGAAGCAAGGGCTTGATCACTTGTCTTTGTCTGGCTGCAGCTGTGCCAGCTATAGAGGTTAATGTTTCCAGCTTTTCCCCAAAAGTATTTACTGCTTTCTCCCATCTCCAGGCTTAGCTGCTTGGATGGGTGTTCTGTAACCCATTTCAGTCAAAATGAGCCAGGTTAGCAGAGGCATGCTGCTCAAACTGTCCAAGCTTAATGTGGCTTATTTTGACAGAGGAGAGTTAGGGAATGTCCCCGTGAGTGGTTCAATGTGTCACAGCCTCCAATAATTGGCAGTGACTGGCAGCTGGGAAACAAGCTGATCTAGGAGCAGTGTCCTCTTCAGGGTGCAGAGCAGTCAGAAGAAGACAAAAGATCAAGCCTCAGAGAGCCAGGAAAATTCTGAAAGGAAATACTGAGAAGTTTCTACCATGTTTGCATTAATGCATTAACAGCATTTTTGAGAGTCTGTGGCCACATTTTTTCACTCGTCCTCTTTTTGCGTTGAGGACATTTCAGATAGATAGTATAGTGAGTGGCATATTAACCCTCAATTAGGCTTATCCGGATCAGATTGTAAGTGATGGCATGTTGGAAGTAAGTGCACCTATTATTATCATGCTTTAAGAGCACTGTGATACTCAAGCGCTCCCCATCCAGAACCTTGGCTCTCAGAAAGTTTTTTACTAGAAAACATAGGTCACAAAAGTGTGGACCCTGCTCTGAGTTAACCAGAAGACAAAACAGCTCCTGACAAGCTTGGGGTCAGGGGACCAGAAAAATAACAGGCAGCCGTTTTGTCCCTTGCCATCAACTCATACCATTTGGCCCTCTATCTGTGCTGAAAGAGCAACAGCTCTGATTGGCTTATAATCGTTCCACTGTGGATCGGTTTAAAACAAGTAGGAATTTTACGTATCAGATCTAAACAAATTAAAGTGTTAAAATCCCTAAGGTGCTTGGTAAAGATGACATATAGATGAAGAAAAGAAAGTAAAAGACTGTGATACTGAGTTTTCATCAAATATCATTAAACAACAAACAAGCCTAGTTAAGTCATTTAACTGAACAAAGATATCAGAATAAAAAGAATTGAAAGAAGTAACTGAACTGTGCTCATACAGTCCCTGCTGTGGTGCTTTTAATCATCTACTCCATAGAATAGGATCAAAGATTTTTTTAGAAGAGATATCACATTGCTTGATCAAACTACATATAGCAAAATTCTCAGGAATGCATTTGGTCAGAATACAATATTTTTTAACATATAAAAACACTCAAAATGATTTTGAAAATTCTACCAAATAAATATGCCTCCATTTTTATTTCTTGTAGAGAAGAGAGCCTTAAATATGCAAACCTACACTGCTACATAGCTTGCAAAGTCACTTATGTTTGTCTCACTGGAGTTACTCCAGATATACAGTGCATAGGGGAGCCTCTAAAATAAGAATCTGGCTTAAAATGTGAAGGTGGAAGCCATGAGGAAATAAATTCGATATGATTGCAGAACTATTTTCCTTCCCTATACAAAGCTGAGGAGTTGTTATGACACATCTGTTCAGAACACAGAGCAGGTAGGAGTTATATGACATGCAGTAGTTTTATCACAACAGATGGAATGATTTTAATTACAAAATTAAAGACAAAAGAATGCCAAGTTTTTCATTTTGCTTATTGTGGTGTATCTTAAAGCAGTTGTCATCACTGAGTACCTCCAGAGGACACTTTTTTGCCTCTGAGAATTAGAACAGATTTAATGTTTCAGAACAGACAGTAATAGAACAGCCCATTTCAAGGCAATAACTTTTTTTCATTTGATTTCTCTTTTTTCTTAGGCAAAGCATACCCTTCCTCTCAGAGACCTCGACCAAGCAGTCCATTTTCTACTGACAGCAACACCAGTGCAGCTGTCAATCAGAGTCAAAGGCCTAGGCCTACTAAAAAACACAAGGGAGGCCGATTGGACCAACCCCCCTTGCCTCATCGCAGAGAGGGAATAACAGACGGTAAGTTTTGTGGTGTGAAGTCAGCTCTCTGATGATAAGTCACAAAAAGTATGTGTGCAGCATGGAAGAATGGAAAGCATGCCTTTAAGCAATGTATGTTACAGTTAATTATTTGTTTGGTGAAGTGGGATCCGTAAGTCATCATGTGAGCAATACCCTAGTGCTTGCAGTGTAAAGCTTGCAAGCGTGGTTAAGTGATTCTTCAAGAAACCTTTCTTTGTTTCAGATCTGGACATGCTAGCCTCTCTTAGGTTTTCTCAGATCTCAATATACATCTTACCAAAAAATGGCTGTTTTACCTTGATTCACATTAAAAAATAACCTGTGGGTAATTTTACATTACATGTAAGTAGCCACCACACAGCAGTTGCAATATTCAGTGAGAACCTAAGGAGAAATTTAAAGCGAGTCCCACAATGTTCCATATGATTTATGCTCTTTTTGACAGCTACCCAGTAGTTCCAGTAACACATGCTATGCTTTTCCCATGATTCTGCCTCGCGTCTTGTTAGTGCTGCTTCATTCCTGAAATATAATGACCTCAATAAGTTTGTTTCTCTCTGACATCTCTACTTTTCTCTGAACACCACTTCCCATCTGGAAATTTCAAATGTATTTATTCTGCTCTTCTAAACATTAAGATCAAGTCAGTCTTCCATTATCTTTGTCCACCCACTCTTGAGTTTGGCAAAAGAGACAGTTGCTGCCTGTTACTCTTTGAGGAGGACTGGATAAGAAGGTAGCTGGCTTACTATCTTCTTCTGTTTTCCTAACTGACTACTCTAAGAGTTGACATGATTAGAGGGGACAGGCAGACAAGCAGAAGAACGGCAGCAATGGAACCACCAAGGATAACGCTAATAAAGCGTGGGTGGCATGTGATCACTTTCCTCATGCTGCTCTCTCTTTCAGTGTTCACGATGAGCAATCCCAAGAACTTCATCTTTCTATCTGCTTCAGTATCTCTCATAACACTATCTGGACCATGGAAGGGGGGGTTGCGATGCCAGTGAGTTTGTCTCCTAATCATAAGTAAATCTTGACAAATCTTCCAGGCTATGGGACAGGCACAAAAATTTTATATGACTTTAGATTTTGGTATAAACATCCTTTGAACTCTAGTAAAAATTATTTGAGAATCCCTTTATCATCTTATTTGGTCAGGTAGCATGTTATAAGTAGATTTGATGGAGACTATATTTAATTTGGTTTGTTTATAATGTGGCTATTTATTACTCTAGGTGCATATATAAAATATGTAAACAGCATAGAAGCTGGACCGTAACCACTAAACTAGTAAAGCTCTTCTCTCAATCATGTTCTTCAGCAGTACAGATACAATTTTGCAGTATGTCCTGTCAAATTGACTGTTTGTCAGGCCATAAAGGTGGAAAATAAATTCCAGAAATGAAAACTCTTCTCCAGAAAGGTTGTCTTTATATCTCGTACTATATAGCTCACCTTCACTTCGATGTTATTTGGGGAATGAGCTTCAAATAGCTTAGGCCCCACTCGTATAGATCTGTACTGGTTTAAACACTAATGCCCTCTGCTTCTGAGTATATTCCAAAGGCCTCTCTCCTGCAATAACTGTTGCACACAGATCAGATAAATAGAGGTATCTGTGGGAACAGTAAGTGGAAATTGTGGGTATTGCTTTTAGTGCTGAATATATTCTTTCTGTGCCTACATTAATTCCATCCTTCTGCATAGCATATTCTGTCACCCTGAACTGTGAACCTTTGGGCCGCAACTTGTGTCTACATGTGTGCATACCGCACCTAGTGTAGTGGGGCATTAATCCTCCTGCTTTTGAGCGCTATTGCTATAGAAATGTTTAATAATAATGCTGGCCCCAGAAAACTAATGGGAAGCTGGTTCAGATCATGAGACGGATGGAACTGTAACTCCTCAGGGAGTGATTCCTTCATAAATGTTGAAGTTTTTTTTAAAATAAGTGATAGAGATCAGCTTGTAAGATTTGTTTATAAAGAGCAGTCTTCTATGGTCTTTAATTTTCTCTTCAAAATAAACTAATCTTATAGGAGTTTCTTTCACATATTTGAGTCAGAGCACCAATCATGTATCATTCCATTCAGCCTCTCAGACGTAGACGGTAGCAGTACTCTGCCTCTGGAGATCTTTAGCCTAATATTTTTCAGTTACAAACTTAGTTAAAAATGCTTGCTCTGTGTTCCAAAAATTTATAACATCCTGAAGTAGTAGAGGATCCTTTCCCATCCTCTCTTACCACAGAAACAAACAAACACAAAATTTACGATTTTTCCATTTCAAGTATTACTGAATATGGCTCATTAAAGTCTAAAGGCAGGTCTGAATCATAGCTAATTTGCAAAGAACAATTTGTCAATTAAGGAAGCTAGAGATTGCTGCTGCCACCTGTATGTATGTAAGCAAACTGAATGTAGTAACCTCTCGTATACAGAAATTAAGAAAGGTAACTGGGTGCTTTGCGTGGAATTTTGCCAAGAGCTTTCAAGTTGACGTGAATTCTCCTATTTATGATAGGAACACATACAGTTAAATAATAATACCAACCTTTTCTCAAGGGTAACTTTCCAAACATCTCACAGTGTGTGACAATGGCACTATCCTTAAGTTATAGTTAGAAAAACCAAGTAGGAGAACCTGGGATAGATCCAGTTCTTCTGAGCCTAAATCTAGACCAGTCATTTCAGCTTAATGAGTTAATGAGTTAATGAGT